AGTGACAAGTGAAAAATTTTTTGGCAAAAGGAAAAGGGGTGAAGGATTTGTTTTGTTGTTTTTATTTATGATACATAAATAAGTAATTATATAATGATAAAAAGAAAAATAAAATAAAACTAAACTATAAAAATAAAAAAAAAGAAACCATAAAATTCATTAATTAAGGGTAAATTGGCTTTTTTCTTGTAACGCATGTTGATATTTACCATTTTAGACATTAAAAGGGTGTGCAAACCAAAAATTACGGTAATTTCAAAAAAAGTTAAAAATCAATTGCAAATCACTTATATATCAAATTCTAAATTTGGTGAGACGCATCTTGATCACATACAAATAGAATACCCGAAGAAACAATCTATTGTTTTTTTTTTATTTTAATCAATTTTTTCTTTTTTTCCCAATTCTCCTCTCCTCTCTTCACAATCCACTTAATTACAATTACTGAAGTCGGAGTTCCGGAGTTAATGGGTTGTGAATTCATGAGGAGACGACCGTAAAAATAGTAAAAATGTGTATTAGGTTAATACAAAAAAGGTACGATCTGATGGATCCATTTTAGATTGACAGAAAAGATGATAGTATTTTTAGATTATGGAGTATGTTTATTTTAAACTAGCATAATAAAAGTAAATAAACGATATCGTTACACACGGAAATCATAATTTGTAAACAATATAATACTACTAAATCATCACATTAATTACTTTATGTTGAATTTTCATAGAAAAAAAAAATAAACATATTCGGATCTCAAAACGTTTAATAAAATATACATTTCCATAATAAAAAATTTTTTTTTCAAAGGATGAAAAATTGTGAAGGTCACGACGGTTCCAAAAATAAACCAACACGGTCCTACAAAAATGAATTATTTGCAAGTTGTATTTGTCAGCCGGGTAAATCGAACCGGATCATTGATCGTTGCCGAAACTTTCAACTTTGAAACTGCGGTAAAGCCTCCCCACCAGGTGCCATTTTGGCTGTGTATATTTTATGAGGCGTTTACCAATGGCGTCGTACGTAAGGAAAGCTAAAAAATTTTTTTTTGAACAAGTTATTTCCTGATTACATTATTTACTTTTAAGGACATAACTATCGTGTTATGTTTAAAGTTTGTAATTACAGTTAAATAATCCTGGGAAATAAATAGGAATTCTTATGTATCACGCATGTTGATGGAAGATCATCAAAGAAGATAAACAAGCAGCATCATTTGTGATAAACAAGATAAACAAGCATACATTGATTTTTTTCTCACATATCACTGTATAATTTTAGTTAAAAATATTATATAATTATTTTTATTATTTTTATTTATTTAAATCTTGTAAGACCGTTTTACTTTATCTAAACCTAAAATTTCAATGAATACGACAATCATTAAAACATTTATGAGAGAAAAAATTAAGTTAAGAACATCTTAATTAGGATTTGTCTATGGGGGTCATAGACAAAGAAAACCGAATTTTTTTTATGTTATAACAACCAACTTATCAGAAATAAAATAATCATAATGTATTTCATACTAGTATCATTCAGGAAGATGTGTTTCCAACATTTTTTTTTTGCAATAGTATTTGAAATGGCAAACCTGTTTGATGGACCGTACATTTAATTGTTCAACATAACGCCGACCTTACCCAAATTAAACAACCCCGCATAAATCCCATGAACTTGAATTTTAAATCCGAATCTTATCTAATGAACACAGTTTGATATATATCAATTACTCTTAAAATTTTCCTACCCGAAGATTTTTGTTTACAATAGTATGATAGACAAATTTATTATTATCCGATGGGATTATTTAATGGTAAGATGGCAAAAGGATTGAGAACGAAACAGGTTGGTGCAAGAACTATAAAGTTCTCATAGGCATGACTTGTTATGAGAATTTTTTTCTGCCACAAAACAATAGAAAATGAGTGAATTTACTTTTCCATAGTATTTCCAGCTGCGGCGGTGGGTGTGCAGATGACAATAATGTTGAAAAGGGGAATTGTTTGTGAATTCAATTTTTTTAGTGGTGGATTACAACGTCAAAAAAATAATCGTGTGAACAAAGAGTTTTGTGGTACGGATCGGTGAATCCTGTGATCTTTATTCCGAGATCAGTATGCATCCGCAGTATGTGAAAAAGTCAATGCATCGATTTATCATTTTATGAATTACTTTTATTGGTGTTTTAAACACAAACACATTGATGCTCCCAAAAAATTGTTCCGAGATTTGGCATTCAAGTTTCTATACCTGCACAATAAAGTTTGGGCTATAAATGTAAATGGCCTGACATAAGAAATCTTCGCATCACGTGAAAAACAAGAAACGAAAGATTTTCTATGACGTAAGAAAGAAAGAAATTTTTTTTGAAGCGTGAAAAAGCGAGCTCAACTTTCTGACAGTCTATAAATATCTGAAAGAATTAAAAATCTATATTGAAAATTTGCTGTGACCTTCTCATACTAATGCTTAATTTGTCTATGCTTTATCCTTTCTGGGATTCGATCAAGAGAAATTTGACTATGAAGAAGATTTCAATTAATAAAAGAATTGCTTTGTCATTCTCGTCCCTTTTTTATATACATGTATTGACTTTCGACTTTTTTTTTTATCTGATCGCTTATGTATACCATGACATCATACAAGTCACATTATTATGATGTATCGTGCCGTAAAGGTTTCCGTCCCCGATGTCGGATAACCTTTTCTTCTCGAACTTTCCAACGACAAACCTTTTGCAAACTTCCCCTAATTAAAACTCATTAAAAAATCCGGTTCCTCGTATTGTCAGATGATTTGGGCTAAGAGAACGCGTGTGAATGATGGGAATTCCAAAGAAGAAGGTGTCCCTTTTGTTTTTGTAAACATTAAGATTTAAGGCGAAATACCCGTATTTTACTCGTTTTGAGGCGTTCATGGCAGATTCTTTTTGTAATTGGTTTTCACATGGATCCGTAATTTAGCTAACCGTCACGCCCACCTCTTACCTTGTAATTTTTTCGAAATGCATTTTCATCACACCACAGTAAATTATAAAATAAACTCGGATCTCAACTTTATAAAAATAAGCAATCTTTTTATTTAAAGAACACACCAAGTCTAGTCTTAGTTACCAAATTAACATGTATCTAAAACGGGTACGTGCTTACTTAATATATAAAAAAACCAAAAAACAACCATACCGGAAAAGTATTACCAGGATCTTATTGGTGAAATGACAAAAGATGTATTTTTTTTTATTCTTCAAAACAAATAGTTCTGAACCGATTTTTGTTTTTTCAAATGGCGCGCTTTGTTTGCTTCAAAAAGTTTAGTTAAATTATAATTTTCCCATATGAAAAATAAGGGTTTTCTTTTAATAAAATCTTTCTTCAAAAGAATCTTGGGATTTCTTTAGATGAAGTACCAAGTTTGTTAAAAATAGCTGCGCTCCATAAAAATCTCAAAAAAAAGATTTTCAATCTGATTTTAATTGTTCAACTTTAATTGTTCACTACATCACTAATAATTTCTATAAAGTAAAAAAGTGTAAAATGATGATATATTATTATTTTTTGGGTATATGAATCCAATATATATATTAAAAAAATAATAAACCTGATTTTTTTTAACTAATCTGATGTAATGTGTGGCCTTGGCACCTTACCATAACTAAATAAGTTTAAAAAATCTGGTTATTACTAAAAGATTTACCTAGGAATTCAACTTTTTGACTTACCTATACATACCCCTTACACAAAAGAATGAGTTTATTCTCTGTTTCACACCATTTTTGGCATTTTCACAGAAAATCAAAAATCTTTTCGAACTTTTTTTCTTTTTATTACTCAAGGAGGAAATTTGAATTAATTTTTTTTTTTTTTGAAGCAATTGAAAAAACTTGTTTAATTTATTCGAAAATATCACCTGCTGCTTTTGGTTGTCATTGACGATATTCTTAATCTAATCTTAAAAAAATTGAATCTTATTTATGTCTTATTGCAGCTTTATTTATAACCCGAATATATTGTTATTTTTGTTTTTTTACTTTATTATTAAAAAATTTTTTTTGCTTGTAAAAATTATAAGATGCAAAGAAAACCAATTCTCCAGGTTGTCAGGTTGTAAAGAAGGAACTACATTCTCGCGTAGAATACTTTACATGTGATAAAATAAAAAACTGGTAATAATTTCGTTAAAAAAATTATCTCACGTGTTTTAATAATTTTTAAACTGTCGGATTGATTCATGGTAGAGGTGTCATGCACGATCTCATTTTGTGCACCAATTTTTAACAATCGGAAGGATTTATATGGAAACAAAGACATGAATTTTAAATGAATTTACTATATTGTAACTAAATCGTATTATAAAAAATAAAAAGGCCATTTTTTATTAATAAAAAAAAAGACAATTCTTAGGGGATCTCTGCATCGACTCTTGTTAAGTCTTTTCTCTATGAATTCATACTAATTAGATATTCACGTTTTTCCATTATTAAAAAAAAAATATATAAATAATCGCAACGTTCCAAGCTGCCAGAAAAATAAATTTATTCGCGCGTTAATTTTCTCACCTAATCTTGTGGACTTGATGATATCAGATATAAATAAATGTCTTGCCAGTTAAAAAATAATTCTATTTTGAAAATTCTCGGTATTTGTAAAGATTTTAAGAGAAAAATCATGCGCTAATTATTTAAAGTTGAAAATTGTCAAAGAGATACAATGAATAATATCATCGATGAAATGGAATAATATGAAGAATGAGTTTGGAGAGAATATTTGCGGTTGAGAATAAGCGAGAAACTAATCCACCAATTATCTGCAATTTATATTTATAATTAAAAAAAAACAAGTTGGTTGAAACAAAAGCATTGATTAAAAAGAAATAGAGGAGTAGTTACCAACACAAAGGATTGAACGAGATACTCTTCGAATGTCTCATAATGGTTGGCGTAATGATATAATAATTGTACTATGACTGAATCAACGTGAAATTTAAACCAAAAATGGATCTCAATTTATAACTAAAGGAAGGCCGCGTAGATATAATTTTTATTTTAAAGGAAAAAAATATATTTCAAGATATACTTACCGAAAATCGCTACGATTTTACCGAATAACATCCAATGTACAATAGCTAGCAACGGAATCACATAAATAGCGCTATTTCCCGAAATATTTTCGTCTGAAAAAAAAAAACATATAATTTTCGTTTTAATTATCCAAAACGAGAAAAAAAAAATATTTACCATAAAGCCAGTTAGCGGATTCAACTACAGCGTTTAATGGTTTCAATATTTTCACAAAATCTTGATGAATTTCTCTCGCGTCACTTAATGTTTTTGTTAACGCTTGAATTTCATTCTGTGAAGTGCTAAGTAAATTATGAAAATTTCGGCTTGTTTCTTGTAATACGTTATGCCATTGATTTGATAATTCGCGATGCTTATACTAAAGGCATTTAAATTTTTTTTATTTTATTTTAAAGTGGTAAAAGTTTTCGTTGAAAAAGGAAATCTTTTTTTTAAAAAACCTTCATACCTTGATATCTTCCATGTTGTCGTAAGCTTGCTCTTGTGATGATAACGTACCTTGTGCTACGGAATTAATCTTTTGCAAATACTAAATTTCAAAAGAAACAAATTTTTCCTATTAAAATGCTTTTAGATATTTCATATCATAAATAATATATTTACCTGAAAAACTTGTTGAGCCATGTCTTCAGTAGCCACCTTAATTAAAATACATAAATACGTAAAAAAAATTAACGAATTTGATAATAAACCGAATTTATTTAAAATGGTTATTGTCCTTACTAATATGCTCAATTGTTGATTATTTGCGTGGTTCATATCACCAAAGGTCTCTCTCATGTTAAAACTAAATTTCTCGAATTCCTAAAAATGTTAAAGGGTGATATATTAAATAAGTCAATCACAAGACTCTCGTTTATTTTCGATAAACGTCACCTCTTTAAAATGTATTATTAAATTCGAAATGCTTTGGGTCAATAGTTGAGAATCCAACAAATCTTTTTTTAATGATCCTGTATTATCATACATCATTTCCTTTTGTCATTTAAATAGTATTTTTTCGCACATTAGTTTAAACGTTTAAAAAATTATTATTTAATGTATTGAATGCCTTACCTTAAATTCTTTATGAAGTTGTTTAATTTGCTTCATTTCTTCTTCACGGCAAGCGTTCTTTTCATTTTGCTGATGTTTTAGTATTTGATAAATGACCCTAATAATTCTATGAATTTCTTCAAGCGAATCTTGTAATAAAATAAAGTTCGACCTTTTAGATTAAGATATCAATTGTAAACAATTTAATTTTTTTCGAATTACAAATTACCTCGCCTAACGGAACATCTCACTGAAATGCACATTTGAACTACGTTTTAGGAAGAAAAAGGAAAATATGTTATCGTAGTATGTAAAATTTTACGACACATCTTTTTAAATTGATACGTACAAGCTTCATTATGATATCTATCATAGGTAGTCCAAAGTTGAGGAATTTTCGAAATGGCTCTACAGGAGAGAATAACATTATAATCATAAAAAAAACAAAGGAATTTTATTTTTTGTACGGTACGCACTCAACGCATCTCCCGACATCATAATTAATATCTTCACATTCCATAGGAGCAGCAAAGTTAGCAATAGCAAGCTTGCATTTAGTAAGTCGAACCGCATCTTTAATTCAAAAAATCGCATTTTAAGTTACTTTAAAGGAAAAAAAAAAATGAACATTTGTTTATTACATTGGATCTTATCATTATCGGATAAATTTAAACTTTTGCAACCATCTTTTAGTGCCGTCGTAGCTTCTTTGAAACAATCTGGCTTTCTTTCGAATTGCGTCAACAATGCTAACATTTATGTGATAAAATGTTAAAAATTGATAAGAAATAAATGAAAATTAAATCGATATTACTTTGGCCATGTTCTAAGATCATTCTTTCGTCATTCGGAAAGTATTCTAAACAGAAAAGGTAGGTTAAAAATGATTTTATTTTACTAAATTCGCATCGTGTACCTGATGGGTCATTATCGTCCACTGGTAAATATGGTAAGTGCTCAGCCGGAGGGTCGATACTGTTTTTATCATAAAATCCCCAAAAGCTTAATCTACCATTTTCAATGAATCCAAAAATAAAACAAGTGAACAATAAATAATATATTAACAGAACAAATTTCGGTTTAACAATGATCATTTTAAAAGTCAAAGAAAGTTTAAGAATGAAAAGTTTTCCGTGAAAAAAAAATAGATAGAAATATGATTATTACTAACAAATGAATCATGCTGAATCATTAGATATCGAAACGTTGACGTAACTACAATTACCCTTTTAATTTAAGGTTCTAATCTATTTTTCTTCTTCTGGCCGATAACTAATTATTTATATATTTACTGCATAAAAGAAGTCATTTAAATCAAGTTTTAAGCCAATTTCGAAGAAACCTTAAAATTGAAAATCGAGTAATAAACTAATTTATTTAAATAAATGAAATATTTCAAAATCATGTATTAATATTATGGTGATAGTGAACCTAAAAAATATAATGGCCAAATTTTCTTATCTTTGCCGAGACTAGCAGTTGTAATACAGTTACCAATAAAAATAATATCAGATTTGAAATCGTAACCCCCTCAATAAATGGCAGAGTCGTTACCAATTCTCTAATAAATCAATTATATTTATCTCTAAAACTTATTTTTGCTTATCAAACAATTTATTCTTCTTTAAATCTATATCAATAAAAACAACCTGACCCTTCAATTTAATTATTCGTATTTATTTCTTTTATAGTTTAGACGTACTTAAACTTTCTGCTAGTAAATAATCTTTGTTAACTTAATGACAAACAGTTTAAGCTTAATAAGTGATAGGCTATTTTTTGTTGATAATATACACAACGAACCGCTGACGAACTAGCGAGATGTATGAATTTTGAAGAAGTTGAACATAATACAACTGAGCATATTATTAGACACTATTCTAATACTAGTTTAAACGTAGATTATACTTGCTTTTGGTATTATCCTCTACCCTCAAATAACAATCTCACAGATAGTTTTATATACTTTTGGGTTTGGTTTAACTTTGAACATCAAGCTGATACTTATTCTGCAAGAACTACTGTTTCATTTAATTTATTTAAAAGCCTATACTATACAACTAAATCAGAATATCATGATGAATGATTAAAAAATGTTATAATATTAATACTTTCTAGTATTCGCTATCAGACTACACTTTTATTATTTGACATCTTATACTTTCAAGGTGTAGTAGTATTTAACATCAATTGTTTTAAATGACAAGTTACAATATCTATCTCAAGGAGTGTTTATATTGAAATATTAAATCAAGATTTACTACAAATACAAAGTAATAGATAGTTATTATATTAAATACTTGCTTCACCAATCCCTTCTGCTAATAGTTTATCTAACTCAACTGCTGGAACCCACCACCTGAACCACCAAAAACTATAGTAACAGAAGATCAAATAAAACAAGCATTAGAAAATATCTTTAGTGTAGAAGAAGCTAATTTATGTGAAGAAGAACATACAATCAAAGTTGATTACTTCTATGGAACTGAGAATGAAAACCCTAATAAATGGCTCATTTCTTTTGAATGAGTATTAACTACCAACCAATGGACTACAAAGGCTAGAAAAAAGCCTATTGCTGAAAAACATATAAAAGAAGCAGCGCAGATTGGTTTGAAAGTATTTCAGCAACCATTAGAAACAATTGGGCTACAATAACTAATGGTAGAAATAATTTTGTGGATCTTTTTAAGGCATGTTTTATTAATGAAACCAAGAAAAATCAATGGTATCAAGAGCTATCTGTACTTCGATAACAAACTGATAAATCTATTGACTCGTATGCTAACAAATTCAAGAAATTAGTAAACAGAATTGATATAACAGATAATGTTCAAAAGAAAAGAATGTTTCTTATAAGACTTAATCCTACATATACACCTCTCATATATTTCTATAACCTAGTTGATTTAGATGTTGCAGTAAATTCAGCAAGAACTATTGAAATTAGTTATAACTTTACAACTGGTAGAATGTCTTAAATCTTAATACAACTACTAGTACTACTCCTGCTACTCCTAAAAGTACTTTTGCTAGTAATGAAGTTAATAAATTAATAAAATGAATGAAATTGTTGTTTCTTAATTATGCCAATTTGACAACTGCCTTGTTAGTTCAATCCTAAACGCCTCTAAGAAGAAAAAATTTTAATAATAAGAGAAATTTCAACAATAAACGAAATTTTCCTAATGAAAGGAATTTTAACAACAATATAAATTTCTCTAACAGTTAAAGGAGACTATAGCAAATGAATCTATCATGTTTTAATTGTGAAAAAGTTGAACATTTCAGTAAGAAATGTCTTCAACCTCGACAACTAAGATCTAACTGAAACACATAATTTGAGAAATCTAGAGATGGTCACTTAGCTGATCAATATTATGACAATGAATATGATTATGAAACTGAGGAAGAAGAAGAATATGAAGTCTTCTTAAATACTAGATCTAGGTCTTATCCTAAAAATCTTATCTTAAAAAACAAAAGAGAAAGAAGAAGTGAATCCAAAAAAAAAGCTTTTGAGACCTATTATGACTCAACGCTTTAGTCCTAACATGTTTGAAGAGAAAATAGAACCTGAACAACCTGAACAAACTACATCCGAATCAATGATCATAGAAAAGGTTGTAAAATCCACACGACATCATTTGTTAACAGTCCTAATCAAATAACTTACAGAATTTAACGTTTCTATTTATCTACAAAACTTACTATATAGACTTTCTATAGGACAAACAGCCTATGTAATACCAAAGTATCAATCAGAATTAGCTTGAACTCTTAAACATTTAAGAGAAAAAGATGCAAAAAAAGTTAATTTAATAGAAAGTGATAGCACACTTTGTATTAGATAAAAAGTATAAACTGCTATAGTCGATAATGAAGCTGCTACAAGCATACAAGCATAATTACTAAGTTATTATTAGATTGGCTTAGACTTGTAATCAATCGATCTTTAAAAATGATTGTAGTTACTGCTAATGAAGCTAGAACTTGATTTCTTAGAATTATCGATAATGTATCAGTTAATATTGAAAGGATTCAGATTCTCACTTCTTTTCAAGTTTTGGATTCAAAGAATGAAATCCTTATCCTCAAAAATGATTGGCTTAGAGAAACAAATACCAACATGAATTAGGAACAGTTAACATTAACAATAAAACAAGAAAAATATGTAATCTGAATTTTCATTATCTTTACCTAAACTGTCAAAATAATAACTCAAGAGAAAAAAGCAACTAATGATGATGATGATTTTGAGAACATGTCTGAAATGTGTGATAGGTATTACTGAAAAAAATATTGTTTTGGAAATGATTGATATGATGATCAGCATTTGCGTCACAGATAATTTTTTACGAATTTTTTTCTTTCAAAACTAAACCTTAATAAACATTATATTTAGACTTAAATATTATATATATAGGTGTATTTTTGCTTGTACTGCTAGTTTACTTAAGGTGGTGGGTTGGGTTTTGCAGTAAAATTTGACTTAGACGCTTTTTTTGAAAAATACGTCACATACTTTAAACCATATAATTGGCATAACCTGTCATACATTTCAAATGTACACTTTGAAAACGAATACTTAAAAGAATATCTTATCTATTTTTCTGATAAACAATTCGAATCAGAATCTAATAATAATAGTGAATCAGAATCAAACGATAATAGCAAACTAGAATTCAATCCCTAGAATAATTACTATTTCCCAATTAATTCAAAAAATGATACTGATGAGAAAGAACTAGGAATTAACTCTAAGGAAATTAATCTAGCAATCTTTCTTGCTAAGACAACTGAATATATAGCAGATGAGGAAATCATTCTATTTGAACAAACTGGACAATTAGATTACTATCAATAGTAATTATTCCAAAACTTCTTAAATAAATATGTTGACATCTGTACAAAAAGTCAAACAAAAATACTTAGATAAAATATCGCATCTATACTGGTAATGTAATACTGATCGCTTAAAACCTTATTGAATAAACCCAATAAATGCTAAGTTCTTAATGAAGAATTAAAGAAAATAAAAACAAACAGAATAATCTGACCTCCATACAGCCCATGGCCACACTAGTCGTGATAATTAGAAAGAAAAAAAGTGATAAAAGACTTTGCATTGATTATTGAAAACTTAATGCAGTAATAAAATTTGACGCTTATGCTTTGCCAAGAATTGATGATTTATTAGACTCTCTTAGTGAAGCTCATTGGTTCACTACATTAGATTTAGCTAGTGGATATTGGCAAGTAGTCATGCATCTACAATTCATGATGTTTCAAGTGGCTCATCATAGATTCGTGGTGGTTCTACCATCGAACAATTATATTCAAATTTTGATGAATTGATACTCAATACTGAATCACCTGCTGAAATTGAATTACAAGATTCGAAAAGCGAAATGATTGATGATAATTCATGAGTTTTAAGAAATAAAACGACTGATCATTATCCAAAATTACCAAATTTACCTTGAAAGCGTACAAGAAGGTATAAAAGTCATCTGCAAGTTACTAACAATTTGAGTGACTCTGAGGATGAGCAACATACCGAGTCTTTTTTAAGCGAAAATAGTGAACATAACGAAGACGACATATCAAATCTCCTATGAGTGAAAATGAAAGTATTTCTGATGATTTACTTATTTCTGAAACTTTTAAAGATTATTCTCTACCGAAATATGAACTATATCAAGATGAAGAAGAGGAAGTAACAATCAATGATCAATTTGCATATATTTTATTAT